ACATCTGGAGTCCTGTGTCCAGTTGTGGGCCCCATACCTACAGAAAGGATGTGGACACATTGGAGAGAGTTCAGCAGAGAGCAATGGCAATGGTTAGGGTGTTGGGGGGACATGACTTATGAGGAGCAGCTGAGGGGACTGGGCTGATTTAAGTCTGGAGAAGAGAAGACTGAGGGGGGATTGAATAGCAGCCTTTAACTCCCTGAAGAGTCGCTCCAAAGAGGATGGAGCTGGGCTGTTCTCCATGGGGGCAGATGACAGGACAAGGAGCAATGGGTTCAAGTTGCAGCAAGAAAGATTTATATTAGATACCAGGAAAAACATTCTCACTAGGAGGGTTGTAAAGCACTGGAGCAGGTTACCCAGAGAGGTTGTGGAGTCTCCATCCTTGGAGGTTTTTAAGACCTGGGAAGGCAAACGCTTGGCTGGGATGGTGTAGTTGGGGCTGGTCCTGCTTTGAGCAGGGGGTTGGACTAGATGTGACCTCCTGAGGGCCCTTCCCACCCTCACGTCCTCTGATTCTGTGATTAATTAATGCTGCTATAAGATAGCACTGCCAGGGACAATATTATCTTACAGCAGAGTAATTAACCATGATTAAATGCACATGTAGACACTGGCCATGGGGCAGACTCCTGTCTGCTACTTAACCACACAGCTCTGCACTTTCAGCACCCTCATGACCCAGCCAGCCCCTCTGCTGTCCAAAGCCACCACCTGGAGCCCAGAGCTGTGCCGCTGTGCCCCTGGCTCTGGCATAAACTGCTCTGCCCTCATTCAAATTGCTGCTGTCCTGGGTGCACATGTAGATACTATGCCCAAGAGTAGTTTACTCTGCTTCAAACAGCTCTGGAGTTTATTGCTTTGAATGAACTGCATGTGTTGATGCAACCAGGGTGGGCTACTGGCTTTGTGCAGGGGTGGGCAATTATTTGAGCCCACAGACCACATTGGGAGTTTGGGGGAGCTGTCAGGGGCTGGGTCAGCACCCGCCCTCCCCACCATGCAACAGCTCACCAAACCTCCCTATGTGGGATGGGGCCACAGGCGGGAGGGGAGCTGGCATGGGCATGGGTGGGCAACAGCCTCAGGAGGGACAGTTCAGCCAGGGTCCCTGCTGCCACCAGTGCCATTTCCAAGCTGTCCTTCTACCCTGAGCAGGGGGCTTCAATGGCGGTGGCCTAGGTATGGAGGCAATGGCATCATCCAGGAAGAAGCTGATGGTCCCTGGAGCACCTGCTCTGGACCTACCTGCCCCAGCCACAATGAGCGGTGATGGCGGGCAGAAGCTGCTCCTGAGTGCGGCGAAAAAGCAGAACCTGGCGGCGGGTGCAACCGCTGCCCCATCACTACTGCTGGGCCCTTCTTGCTGCTGCCACTTGCAGCCCACGCTGGGGCTGTCCTATGGATCCTCCCAGCCACTGCCCACTGCCAGGTCCCGCTTTTCCCCTGCACCCTGCAGCAGCTTCTGCCCAGTGCCCACTGCCACCCCCTCTTGCCATGGCCAGGGCAGGCAGGTCTGGAGTGGCCTCTATAGGGACCCTGACTCCCCGCATGGGGTGGGGTGGGGTGGGCCTTGTTCTGAACTGCAGAAGTTTGACCTTTCCTGGTACCAACTACAGGGCCATACCGTGTGTACTGTAGTCCCTACTACTATCTCCATGACCTCCAGACAAGGATTTAACATCACCCCAGCTCTCAAATGCAAGGCAGGCAGTGTAGAACGGGGAGGCCAAAAGACCTGGTGAAATGGAATCAAAACCAAGTAACTTTGGAGAAGTACCTTTCCTTCTCTGTTTCTCAGTTTCACCCTCCCCACCCCTTCCACATTCTGTAATCCTGTCTCACTTTTGCTTAATGAGTTCTTCTTGATTAGTCATGTGTTACCTTTAGCTATCTAGTAATAATGATTAATCACACTGGCTATTGATTCTATGTAATTGCCGAGTTTAATAATATCACATTCATTATTAACAACATCCCAGATTAGCATTTACTGAGTAATGCTAAGTTCTTAGAAGTTCACAAAGTCTCTAGGAACCTGCCTTGTCCTTGTCTGTCTGTGTACTCATGTGGTCCTCCCATCACTGGTATCCAATACCTTGCATACTTTGATATATCTAGCCTCCCTATAGTCAGTGAAGTGTGGTGCTGCTATTACTCCCATTTTATAGATTGCAACCAACATCAGGGCTAAGGGAGACTACATGACTGGCCCAAGGTCACATAGGAAGTCTGTAGCAGAGAAGGAAATTGAACCAGGTCTCCCAGCATTCATGGCAGGGCTCTACCCCATAGTCTGTTCTTCCTCTACCTCCTGTTGTATGATCCCAGCATCCTCGTGAGCCTTCAGGTAGGTCAGTGTTACTGTCCCTGTCCATCAACGAACAACCAGGAAAACAGCTGAAGAGTTGAGCGTTCAGCTTATATCTTTGGACCTCCGCTCCAGTGATTCCACCTTAAGGCATTACCAACCATCTCACCTTGAAACCAGCCCAGGCTGTATTTCTTCTCAGATCTTCCATCTGTCTCCTTGCAGTTTTGGAAACCTAATAATTACAGATGATTCATACGAAATCAATGTTTCCCACAAATCAAGTCATCCCATTCACAAACGCATTTGGTGACATGACATATCATACCAGTTTCATCACCACATGGCTCCGCAGGTTGTCAGCGAGCCGCAGAAGAGGAAGCACGGATCTGTAGCCAAACTGGCCCACAACTTTTTGCTGAATTTTCTTTTCCTTTTGTGTTTCAGGGAAGGAGACCCTTTTTTTTAAAAGTACCTCTGGCTGACCCATCAGCTTGAAGTGCGAGGAGACTCCTGAGAAAGGTTATCCATGTGATATTTCCATACTATTCCTGCAGACCCAAGAGATTCAAACGGTTTAGAGGAATCTCTGATAGCCGCGGCAGGGGTCCAGTCACCTGTGACTGCCTACAGCAGGAAGGTTTAAAACTCCAGAGACAAAGGGATCACCTGTCCTTGAAGGCATATTAAAAGAAGCAGAGGGCCTGCCTGTACCTCACATGAATAAAGCATGCTGATTTCCGTAGCCCGCAGCATCCAATGGAGCAAAGTGTCTAGCACCGACTGACCACCTTGCACTCTCCAGCCCAAATGACCTGGCTCCCATTTTCAGCTCAGATGGCACAAGCAACCTTTGGCACAAGCAAGGTTTTGACTCATGCCTTTGGAGACATTTTTGTGACACCACTTGCTGCGGATCAAAAAGTCAAATGGAGTCAGCCCAGCCCAGGAAAAATAATCACACAAGTGCATGGGGGCTGGACTGGATGATCTGTCAGGTCCCTTCCAGTCCCTAACATCTATGTAATTATGAAACAGCAGACCCTCCAGCACTGACCCCTGGGAGAAGCAGGGACATCGCTTGATTCCTGCTTCTCCTTGGTACATTTGATCCACTACGCCAAGACAGAGCTTCCTTGTCTAGATATACCACGGTGACCTGCTGGATCAAGCCCCAGTGAGTTTATAGGGACCTCGCTCTCTGCAGCACTCTTCAGGCTGTCACAGTGACGGGTCTGGAGCAATTCACTCTAATTCCAGCTCTGTTCTGGTGCTATAGGCAAACGGATCCACGCTCATGCAATTCAGTCCTCATATACAGCTCTATCATATCCTACTCCTGGTCTCCCACATCCCACCCATGATGCATCCGCCTGGGTGCATCTACACAAGATGCTTACTGTGGAGCTGCCTCATTAGCTCTGCAGTAAAACATCACTGTCTACAGAAGCAGTGCTATTAGGCCAGAGTAAACTAATTCACTGTCATAGGATAGTACTGCCCAACACAAGTGCTATTCTATGGCAGACTTACTGACTTCACTGCAGTGCACGTGTAAACAGTGACCAGGACCAGCTGGGGCACGAGGATACTACAAGTGCAGGGCTGCCTATTGGCTAGCCCCGCACTGGATCAACCTCGTGCCCCAGCCAGGTCCTCTGCAGCACGTCGAGTTGGGGTGGAGCAGCTGGCCCCCAGGCTCCCTGCCACCCCGGCTCAACTTGCTGCAGGCCCAGGCACATGTATAAACATGTGAATGCTGCACTGACGTTTATTGTGTCGAATAATTTGATGTGTAGATGTGCCCCTGCCTCTTGTTCCAATCCTGGGCTCCGTTCCACAGAGCACTACCAATGCACCTTGCATTTCTGACTCACAGGCTTCCTGGCCGCTGCCTCTGCACTCCTGGGCTCACGCGCTCACAGTCCTGTTAAGACTCTTGATTCAGTGCTCCCACCCCATTTTATCCAACAGCAAGCCCCACGTGCTGCAGGCTTTGCAGCCATCTAAATCTCTCTCGCTCTCTCCTGAGAAGAGACCAGAAGCCACTCCAAACTATTCATACATCTATTAATCTATTTGATACATGAATGCCTGCTATGATCCATCCTACTTGTATTCGAATACAGGATTCAAGGGGAAAAAAAACCCTCTAGAAGTACAGAGGTGAAGAATTCAACCCCTGCTTCCAAAATTTAAAGCAGCTACAGATGTTGCATGTCACGGTCAGAGCTGGGCCCGAAGGTTTTAACCAAGACATCAGGACCCCAAAGTCCGCTCCAGCTGGATGCCAGACAAGACGGACAGACAGACAGATTCTGGTGGAGCCAAAGTCCTGCACAGTTTCAGGTTGAGCAAATACAGATTTCGGACTCAGATCAATCCCCAGAGCTGCACTGACTTGCTTTCCTCTCCCCGTTGCAATGATGGTGGGATGGAGGGAGAGGAGAACCAAAAATTACAGAAGATTAGGGACCATTTTAAATGGCATTGAGGAAAGAGGAAGTTGCAGCTCAGCCCAGTGCTTTATCGGACATCTCCAAGTTAATGTATTGGCTCCCAAGGCTGGCACATGCCACATTCCCCACTTAATAGAGGGGGCAGGGTCTGAAGCCTTGTCAGCTGGAACAAGGACGATAAAGCATCAGGTTTCCTAAGCCCTGAGCCCCACCTCTATCAGCAGGAGATCCCTGGATTTTCAGCATATATATACATCTATCCAGCACCCAAGCATCCTTGCAGGGAGCAGCCCCAGGAGCAGGGATCGCTGCCGGTAGAGTAGGTCTTCTGAGCCCCGGCACCGGTCGCCTCATGATGTGGGAACTCCGCTCTGTAGCCTTCACCCGCGCCGTCTTTGCCGAGTTCGTGGCCACCCTACTCTTCATATTCTTCGGCCTGGGCTCTGCCCTCAGCTGGCCCTTGTCTCTCCCAACCATCCTGCAAATCTCGCTGGCCTTCGGCTTGGCTATCGCCACGCTGGTCCAGGCCCTGGGGCACGTCAGCGGAGCCCACATCAACCCAGCCGTGACGGTTGCTTGCCTCGTCGGCTCTCACATCTCCTTCCTCAGGGCTGTCTTCTACGTAGTGGCCCAGATCCTGGGAGGGGTTGCTGGGGCAGCTATCTTGCACGAGATCACCCCTCCAGACATCCGGGGAAACTTGGCCGTCAACAAGGTAAGGACCGTGCCAGTGCCAGCGTGGGACCTTTCAGGGGTACGGGGGGGGGGCTTAGGGAAGATGGGAGAGGCAAAGGGAGGACATATATAGCTGCCAGCAGAAAACAGGAGTCCTGGCAGTGGAGATTAGAGCCACCCTGCCCTGCGCTCAAGCTGCAAGACCCCACTCCCGTCTAGCAATAGGAACAAAACCCAGGGGTCCCGGCTTGAAGATCTCCTTGCTCAGCCGTACTCCCTCCTAGTGCTAAGATTAGAAATCAGTCCTGCCACCCAGTGCCGTGCTCCATTCATACACCATAGGCCAAATCCTACCCCAGCAATTAGGCACCTGAATGCAGTCCTATATTGTACCTGGCTCTCATATCCCTGCAAGAACATCAAAGCGCCTCATTTTGTAATGCACCATCATGTTACATCACAAGAAGCAGCGAGGAATGGGAGGATCCACCCATGTTTCGCAAGGCCTGTTTTTCAGTGGCTCAGGCAGGGTGGAATAGGATCACACCGAGGCAACTAATAGCTGGCACAGGATCTGGCTCCGTTTGCTTTCAGGCATGGCAACAGAGCCCCATAAGCCCTGGCTCCCAGTTCCCCCTTGCTCTGATCACTAGGACAGTGCCACCAACCACAGCCCAGGGAGCTGACAGCTATAAAATGCCACTTTCTGATTGTCAGTGGCACACGTGGCAGTTCCTAGAACGGCCGGCTTAATTTAACCCTGGGAACATCCTGACTTGCGCCGACTCCCCTCCTCCAGCCTCAGCCATCTCTGCGTGTGCAGCTTTGGTGGGGAAACATGCCTCCCCGCCATGTGATGTCCTGCCAGTGTTTTCAGGCTGCTGGTGCCATGCCAGGCTCCTTGGCACCAGGGCTAGCAGGGCAGGGTTTTTTTGGTTTTGTTTTTAATGCAATCAGTGCTTCTCATCAGATAATCCCCATTTACTTTGTCCTGTTCTAGTTCTCACAGTACCCAATGGCCATGTCTGCCCTGGCGATGCCGTCGGTTAGCTTCCCTCCCATGACTAAGACTGGACTCTGGGTTCAGACGTGGTGCAATAACAAAACCACAGGAGTATATAGGGAGGCGGTCCTGAAAGCTTTGACTTACAGGCATGAAAATCAGGGAACCCAAGGAGTTAGGATGAGGATGCCTCGCTGAACTACCATGAACATGGCAGCCTCCCTCCCCTGCCCCCTCGAGTCTCTTGACTCCAGGTTGTTCAATGCTTGGGAGCATGGCTCTAACTTCCAGCCTGATCTCTTTTGCCATCTCCTCCCTTGCTTGCTCCGAGAGCCTTATGGCTAAGGGCAAGCAAAACTCGGGGCATCTGAGCCCCAAGCTTGGGCCAGCAAGTAGGATGCCCGCCAAAGGTTTTGGAAACATCTGAAGCCCCAGGTGTGGGTGGAGGATGTTTGCCAGCAGGAGGGACACTTATGGTTCTGGATTCTTGGATTTGGAATTAGTTTTGGCTAATTTGGCCTCAGATACAAATTAAATTTAAAAAAAAAATCTCTTTTTCCATCTCCCTTGTGGAACCGGTTACACAGGTACAAAGATGTCCCAGGCCAGATGCCATGAAGCCAGATCCTCCTTTTATACTCAGCACCCCCTATAGCCCTCCCTCTGACAACAAAGGGACTTTAAAGTGAGAGGCAACTACCTTTGCAACCACTTTATGTCCCCTTTAGGTTGCTAGAGTGGTGTAAAGGGGCCACAGCAGAAGACACTTGGCCCGCTCGGTTTAGTTTGCATTAGCTGGCTCCACTGTCTGAGTCAGTGAAACTCTTATACTCTTTCACAGAATTGGCAATGATTGCACAAGGTTCAGGGCAAGTAGAAGCAGACCCTGTATCTTTGCAGAGATCTAGCTATTTGAATTGAATCCAGGTCACTAATGCTTGAAAGCTTTTAGCATCCCTAAACTGTTTAATTCACAGGAATAGAGCTAACATCCCCTTTTAATTGCTTGTGAGTCCCACATTGGTGCTCACTGGGCTGTATCTTTAGAAGTCAGCCAGATCAGGATGCTGACGGCTAAGGCTTGTGCAGCAGATGCAACGGTGAGCTCTGGGAAGCCAGCTCTTCCCAATCTTTGCTGAATCTTTACACCAATAAACCTGCATTCTCAGTAAGGGAGTTACCAGTATAATTATTTGGGGGGCATTATGCCTCCTGACTAACAGATGGTAAAAAGTCCATTATAGACCCAGACTCATTTCCATTGGCATTAATCCAGAATTACTGCACTAAAGGACCCGATGATCTGTCAGGTCCCTTCCAGCCCCTAACAACTATGAAACTATGAAAGCCTTGGGATCTCCGCAAGCATGGCTGAGATCAGCTTTCGTGGCAGATAAAGAGGTGAAGTGCTGGCAAGAACATCTGCATGCACCCTCAGTATTCAGAAAGGTACATCTCAGGCTGCAGCAGGGAAAGCAGCACCCAGATAACATTTTGAGCACGCCTCAAAGCACCACTGGCACCACAAATTACTGACTTAACCAGCCATATCCAGCAGTGCTGCTGGTTCTATGGGATTAAAAGAGAAAAAAAATCAAGCTCTGCAACAGGGATGCTATCTCAAAGCAAGGTCAGATTCAGTTTAAACAGGGAAGTGATTGCTGGAAATCTTTACTGGAAAGCCTCCACCCAAGGTCCAACGCACGTGTCCGGGTTTTTGAAAGAAAGAATCGGTGATTTTTTTTCATGACAACAAAATAAAAGTGGGATTTCCAAAGACCTGATTTCTTTTTTTCTCAGACACAAAGGATGCAGATAAATGAATTGTTGATGCTGCTGTAAACAGAATTACACTGGTATAAAACAGTAGGAGAAGGATGACACAAGCACTTAAATGGGGTTAACTCTGTCCACTCTGCTGGAGAATGACCTCTGGAAGAATCAGGGGTACAACACAGCAGTGCATGTTTCATCTGTCCCCATCCATCCTGCTAAAGAGAGCTTTCCCAATTTGTTTCTGACCTCAGCCACAGAGCCAAAACATCCATTATTTGCCCAGACCTGCTTTAGACGATGATTCAAGCCTTCAGGAAGGATGTGGCCTGAAGGACCTGGTTGGGTTCAGCCAGGAGATGCCTGGGGCCTCACCTGTTCCTGAGATGCTACCTTGCTCTTGTTTCAGCTGTACAACGAGACAACCACAGGACAGGCAGTCACCATGGAGCTCTTCCTCACCTTCCAGCTGGTCCTGTGCATCTTTGCGTCCACGGATGACCGCAGAAGTGATAACGTGGGGTCTCCAGCCCTATCCATTGGCCTCTCTGTTGCCCTGGGACATCTCCTGGGGGTATGTCTCACAACCACGTGGTGTAAACACCTCTTGCATTGTAGATCCATTAGGCAACTGTATCCAGGACCTGCTGTTCTTTAACTAGACTGTCATTTCTAGAAAGAGAATAGGCCAGTGAAGAGACCTCGCGTTAATGAGGCCTCAGTTGGATGCCTGGCTCTGACAGCCTTCTTGTACAACCGTAAAGCCAATGAGAGTCAGGCAGCTAAATACCTTCAAAACTTTGATCCGTAGCATCTCTGTGCTCCACGTGTAGCATGCAGTGGGGAGGGGGCTGCACTGCCCCAGTGTTCATGGTTTAAGTCACCCTGCTGCCATACTGACAAAGGGGGCCATCTACATACTGAAGACAGACAGCTCTCCTAGTCAGGGACAGGGGACACTATACTGTTGCTCTGCAGCTTTTAAGGGTCTCAAAGGACTTTGCAAAGATTAGTGATTCCCCACGGGAGGTGGATTCCTTAGGGCAAGGAGCTGAAGCAAAGGTGGGTAAAAAAAAATCTGCAAAGGAATCGGCCCTTTCTGTTTAGCACTTAGGCTGTGCATTTTGCTGGAACTTATGGGCCCTCGGCACTGCCACTTTTCCAGCTGGAGACACCGCGAAGGGGTAAAGTGGCACCTCCTGGCTTTGAACACCCCTCATTCATCGCATGCAACAGCAACAGATTTGTGCCGCCGTATTTTGCACCCTCGAGAGCTTTTGCGCGCTGTTCGAATGCAGGGCCACACCCCTGCTCTCACAGATTCATTAATCAGTCCCTGAGCAAACACTGGCCTGCAACACTCCCTCCCCACCCATAAATATAGCCTCTCCCAGCAGAAGCCAGTCACATCTTTTCCAGCTGCGGGGGTCTTCCTCTGGGATGCAAGATGCATGAATGAAGGCTTCAGGACCTGCAGGACTGCCGATAGGGATAGAAACCATCGGGCACTTGCTTGCTAAAACAATGCAAGCAAGATGGAGGGTGAATCACTCCACTCCACAAGTGAATCATGCCGATCGCACACACCTATACACCTGATGGACTTCTGCTGCAACGCACGCTAATTAGCATGTGTTGGAGCAGACTCGATTAATCAGCACCCTTTCTCTGTAAGGGTCACCAGATTAATCAAGTCTGCTGCAACCTGCTCATTAGTGCGCTCCAGCCCACTCTGCATCACATGTAGCGGCGCCCCCGTGTTTCAAAATGCCTTAACTAAAGCTTGTCGAATGAACTTTAGTTAAAGTGCCCCCACCGCCAATGCCAAGCGCAGGGCGCTGAATACACATGGCACTGCGCCTCTGAGAGCCGCGCTAATTAAAGCACTGCCCCCCGCAACATGTGCATAGCTACCCTGGGACATTTCCAACCCTTCTCAATGCCAAAAGGGAATCATGTTAACAAACAACTCTGCTTCTTCCTAGATCAACTACACAGGCTGCTCCATGAATCCGGCCCGGTCTTTTGCCCCCGCTGTGATAGTGGGAGACTTCACCGACCACTGGGTAAGGATCCTGTTTCCACACCTCTTGGCCGTGCCAAAAATGTTCCCTGAGTGTTCCTGGTGATAACACTTCTAGGACCCCAAGAGCTAGCCTGGTTGCAAAACTACAACAGCTAAGGGAGGTCCTCCTATTATACCAGGCTCGGGTTGCCAATAAAGATGCAGAGCTCAGCAGCCCTTGGTGGGGCAATTGGGGCTCTAACTGCCTATCCAAGGAGGCAGTGTCGCAACAGGAAAAGGGGCATATGGTTTGCCCCTTCTGGCAAGAGGTGCCAAACCTCTGCAGAGTCTAGCTGGAGTTAATGCCAGACGAACCCCTCCTGATTCCTGGTTGAGTTGGGCTCAGTTCGGTCTTGCACCGGGTCTTTTGGGTGGGTTTGGGGGCACCGCCAGATGTTTGCAGGCAATGAACCAAAAGAGCTGAGCTCGATTATAACCCCCCGCCCCCCTCCGAGGCCTCACTGTAACCACTCAACACCATGCCCTTCCAGAGCCCTGGAGTCAAACATCCACCCCCACCTTTAACATAACCTCTAGGACCTGGGCTAAGAATAGAACTGCAAGAATCTGATCTCCCAGCCCTGTCCCACAGCTGAACTTCGAGCCATAAGCCACAAATGAGGAATAAACCCCCAGGAAGGCAGACAGCAAATCAGACTCAGCTGCAGGCAGGTTTCATGCCTATTCCAGGCTCCCTTCAATCAGCAGCTGCATTTTTATTCCTCTCCGCATGACTTCAGGTCTTCTGGCTGGGCCCACTGGTCGGGGCAGTGGCTGCCTCCCTAATCTACAACTACCTTCTCTTCCCACACACCAAGACGCTCTCCGAGAGACTCGCCATCTTCAAAGGCTTCGAGCCGGAGGAGGACTGGGAGGAGCGTGAAGCCCGCAGGAGACAATCTGTGGAGCTCCACTCCCCTCAAAGCATGCCCAGAGGCATGACGGAGAAGGTCTAGCCATGTCCACGTGGCTCCCTGCTCTACTGGCGCTAGCGGTACCCTCCGACACACGCCTTAGAGACAATAGTGCATTCAGACAAGTGGCAAGTATCCCCTAGGAGTACAGGGGCTGCCATCTGCCCACATCTCCAGGGGAGATGCCCAGTGAACCACCCTAGGCTTGCTCCCCTCGCAAGCTGACCCTCTAGCCCGGGGGAACTAAACTTGCCCACCCAGCTTTCAGTGTGAGGATGAAGGGCCAGGAACAAGTCATCCGTGCCCAAAACAGACACCAGCTCCTCCCAGGAAACCCTAGTGGCATCATGCTTAGCAACAGGACACAAAATGCCCGGGTCATTTTCCCAGCTCTGCCATCCATACACTGTGTAGCAAGTGACTTACCTTCTTTGCGCCTCAGTTTCCCTTCCGTTCGGTGAGGACACCACTGCCTAGCTCAGCGCGCTGCATGAATGCTCATTGCAAGTTTTGAATCTGCAAAGACATCACGCAAGACTTTATTATTGCCGTTTGATGAGGTGGGGAGGTAGCCATGCTTCATCGCTCCCAACCTACCACCTGCCCCTTGCTCGGTGTAACCAGCATCTCTTCCATCACAGGCTCTCTGCATTTCTGTGGCAGCTGAAGCAATGATAGTGTGAACCGTTCGGTGTCCAGACTTAAAATGCACCGATTCCCAAACTCTTGCCTTTCTGTAGATTGAACTGCAGACGTCACTGATTTCAAGACAATTTGAACTAATAGAAATGATATCCTTTAAATCCCCGATTCTCTCTCTTTTTAATTCCTTGTTCTTATTTGTTACTTCCCTACAGAAAAATGTAATCCAGGGTCTTCAGAAAACCCAAAGAAACTTTCTCAGTATTTATCCCAGAAACAAGATGGGGTAAATAATTACTATTCCTCATTCTATTTTTCCTTCCAGTACTAAATCTCTTCTGATTTAGACTTATTTATTATCTGTTGTGGCATATTAAGCTAAAATGAAACTAAACAGGGCTATGGAATATGGAGTTTTAACATGTCTGAAGATGCGTTGCATTAATTTGCAAGTAAAGCACCTCAATGCTATTTGTACATGTTTTAAATCTACCTGCATAAATCAAATAAAAATAAATGACACATTGATTTACAGAGCATTTTTCATCCAAAATTGTTTTACGGACTGGTTACAGGTGTGACACCTGCTATTCTTAGTCACACTGAACAGCAATTTACTCTGCAATTAGAACTAATAGAAGGAGGATCACAGGGATCATTCAAATGCTCCTGAAAAACAGCCACTTCTGGGGAGGAACAAAATAGCCTGCCTACCAGTAATACCACCTAAGAGATCTAGTTTGTTCAGGACGGTTACTTGGCAGGGGAGGTACCATGAAGTGATTTTTGGCCCAAGTGGTTTCAGGGGAGAGTCCCGTCTTAGCTTTGAATAACTTGGTGCTGTTAGAGGGTGAAGGCCTGTCCCTTGCACTACAGGCAGGCTGACCTCTGCCAGAGTCTACTAAAGCCTCCCAATGGGAGCATCTTGGCTACACAATTTATGGCGATGGGGGATTGCTCTCTAGCTTGCTCCTTTGGCCTCTTGGTCCCAAACTAGGGAGCATCTGAAGTGCAAGCCTGACCCACTGACAGCTCCACTGTAATAATTTGCACTGCTTGAGACTATGACCCAGCGAGTCATTCCAACTTTATACCAATGCAATTCAGATCAGAGACCTAACCCAGTGTCCCAGATGTCACACAGTCCTGGGAAAACCTTAGGACCAAGACAAAACGGTCTGCCTTTTTGTTCAGATAAATTACAACCCAGCAGGTCAATAGATTGATGGTGCATCAGCCTGGCTCATAACCACCTGTAACACCTTCTACAGATAGATGGTGCCTATATCTATCTGTCTGCACTATGCATTATTCATTCATTCAACCTTTGTCAAGCACCTCTGTATCAGGTGTGAGCACCAAATCAGAAAGGAAATAGAAATTGCTGTTCAAAAGCCTTCGCTTTCCCTCTCCCTTGCATCTGTGGGTTTTTTTCCGCTGGGCCCTGCAGCCCAAAGCCTCCAGCCCATTGCTTGTGGGGGTGATCAAAGGCTGAAGAGGCACTTTGTAAAGCAGTTTGAGATCCATTCTGTTGCCACACAAATGCAAGATGGTTATCATTTGAGAAATGGCCACTCCCAGCCTCTGGGAGATGGCTCCAGGCCATTTTCATGAACCCACCCCGTTACCCTTCAGCAGCAATCAGTACCAGAATACTGCACGTCTTCAGTACCGCAGGAGATTTCACAGTGCGGGCTGTTTCTCTTCCTGAACTCCTGTCCAGATCACTTTGGTCATGGGTTTGAGCCCAGGGCAACCTCAGGTGGGACCCTAATATGCCTGTTATGGCCACGGTGCTGGTCAGGTCTCCTTCTCCAAATAGCACAGTCTGCAGAAGCCGTCTCAGCCCCCAGGCACACAGCCACTCTTTTTCTTCTTTCTAGCCTACGGACAAGTCGCTGTTACTCAATCGTGATGATGGTTTTGGCCCAGGTGGGTTTATTGACCTGGCAGGGGGGTTCCCATCTTCTCAGCCTTGAAGGACTTGGTGCCGTTAGAGGGTGAAGGCCTGTCCCTTGCACTGTGGGCAGGCTGGCCCCTGCCAGAGTCTACTAAAGCCTCCCAATGGGAGGATCTCACTACACAATTTATGGCAATGGGGGATTGCTCTCCGGCTTTCCCTCTAACTTGCTCCTTCAGCCTTTTAGCTCACGGCAAGCGAGACTAGCGGTCATCTGAACTCCAAGACCTCCAGGCTTGGCGTTTGCATGTAGGAAGCTGCCATGGCTTTGGCAGTGTCTGAAGCCTCAGACAGATGAGTCTGGGAGGAAGGAGACTTGCCGGTGGTAGCGCCACACAGACCTGAACGACCGAGAATTTGAAACGGATTTGGGCTGAGACACAAAATATAAAAGTATTATTATTAATACTATTATTAACAGCAACAACAATAATAATGCCATCAAGGCCTTCTGATGTTGGAGTGCCATGCTTGTCACAGCGTGGTAGTGGATGTCTGCACTACTGTCATTTTTCACACTATTTGGGGCTTTTCCTAACAGCCCAGCTTATTTCCATTACAAGGGGAGAATCTCTGCTCTCGTTTAAAACCAATAAAAGGATTTTTCTAGCCTCTAAGTTTGAAGAAAATGCTTGCAAACATGAACCATAGCAGCCAGGACATAAAAAGGCCAATAAAAAAAATGCAAGCACTGTTATTTTTTTAGTCAATCACATGGTTTTATGGGAGACACGACCTGTGATGTCTGAATACCTGGACTGGCAATATGCATTTCCAAATCAGTATGTGTGCAACTGAGAAAGGACAGTAAAATCCCTTGTGTAGGTTGCAGACAGAAGAACTCAGGTTGCAGGCCAGATGAATTTGGAAAGGATACCGGGAAGTCGGTCTGTGTGCACATGCTACCTGCGGTTGCAGTGCCTCTGTAAACAGTTGTGTTAACAGAGAGGTAATTCAGTTTAACAAGCATTCTCGGACTATTATCCCTTCACCGCCAGAGACATCAGTGTAAGGCCAGTGTTTCTCAACTGGTGGGTCATGACCACGAGGAGATCACAACAGACAAGCTAAAACTGTGCTACAAAAACAAAAGTGTTGTGTGTTAAAGCAAAGAAATGCTCAGTCTCCAACTTTCCACTCACCCTCACTCTTCAAAGGCAGGTATTTGCTGGTGACCTATCAAAACACATGCCCCAATAAATTCTGTGGGCTTTTTGCTCCTAGCTGGGATACACTGTTGACTTTTACTTTTATAGTAAAAACAAAAGGGCTGCTAATGTATGACCTGAAAACCTGAAAAATATTACACTCCAAAATTCAAGAGCATCTCTTGCGCCTAAATGCTTTAAGGATCCAGGCCTGCAGGATCTGAGCAGAGATGTAGTTAGTCACTCTGTAGTCGAGGAGAAAGCAGGGTGGATTTGTACCTTACAAAGTAACAAAAGTGTATGTGCATATATGTGCACACATGCACACGTGTGTCTATATATTATATATGCGTGTGTGTGTCTATATATATGTCTATATATATGTCTATATATGTGTGCGCGCACATATATGCACATATATATACACACACATGTACATACACATATACATACATATATGACACACACACAGTATATACACACATACATATATACATGCACACATAAATACACACACGCACATATATATACACACATACATACATGCTTATACACACACAAATACACACATGTACACACACATGCATATATATACACACATATACATACTTATACACGCATAAATACATACGCACATAAATACACACACATACATACATACTTATACACACACATAAATACACACACAAATACAAACACACACATATACACACACACAAATATACACACACGCATATATATAAACACACACACATATAAATACACACACACATATGGATGTATGCATGGATGCATGGATATTATATATATAATACACACACAATAAATGTTCTTCATCAGATGCTGTGAAAGTCCTTCACAAATCTACCCTGCCACTTACATTTTCTACCTCCCCTGAACACAGCACAAATTCCTTGAGAGGCAGTACCGTCACCCCTCCTATACTGATGGAAAAACTGGGGCGCAGAAACATACCCACTGTGTTAGCTTCAGAAACTATGCACCCCAGTTTCTGAAGTGCTAGCCTACCATCCCTAAATACTAGCCCTGCTCTCCCAGACAACAGAGCCAGCTTGGCCTCATGAGTGCAGGGCTGTTGTGCAAGGTGCCAACATGGAATCTGCTGCTTTTGCAAGATCCAGCAGGAAGATAAGAGCGGCTGCTGAGAACTTCTTTTCTACCCAGAGACAGGATCACAACAAGCCCTTGCTCCCAGGTCATTTCCATCCCCAGCCAGCACCCTGCCCTTACAACCCACAGGGCCTACCAGCATCTGTTCCACACTTCTCTTGCCCCATCCTTCGTAAGCAGACGGCGTCGCTGGTCGGTATCAAAGGCCGGCTTTGCGTGCTGCCTTTGTGCCCGCTGGCTGAATTTCCAGTCCAACAGGGGCATGGGGGATTTTCACACAGAACTGGAATTTCTGGGAACCTGAGCAGAGTGCAGAAAATAATACCGTTGTGCAGAGATTGCTGAGCTCAGTGTTAAACAGACTGTCTTGGAGAGAACAATAAACCATTTAATTATGCCCTGCTCTGGTACAGCAAGGAATAGATGCATACACATACATACCCGTGCATGCACATGCGTGCACGCATGCGCGCGCACACACACTGTAGTACTCCAACCCACATATTACTTCCCTTACACAGCAATCAGTGCACCTCACCTGTAGCCTCAAAGGATCACTATCATTCACATCTAACCTTAAGGCATAACGTTTCTCAGTCCATCTATTTGGGGCCCCCAGTGACCCAGGTGCAGAACTGTGTGAGCAACAGATTTATTTTTTTTTGGTTCAAGGGATAGGCCAAAAAACCCCTGGAAAATAAAATAATTTTAGGTCAATTCAGAATAAAAGTAAAAAAAAAAAATCCCTCTGCTTATTTTACTAAACACCATACATATAGTGCATTTTGGATCAAATGAGGGGATGAGACAGAAGCCCACAAGGCAACCCCAGTCCAGCTCTTTCTTGTGCTTTAATCCAGTGGTGCTCAACCTCTGGCCTGGGGGCCAAATCTGCTGCAGAGTCATTTGGCTCACAGCACTCCCCAGAGATCTGGAAATATGGCAGCAGAAGAGCAGTGGAAACGTTACTTGCTGCAAGTCCCAGTGCTGTCACTGCCCCCTCCAAGTTTCTGATCCGTGGGGAGTCCCATAGCCCCCTGCACCGGATCACACCAGCACACGGAGCTGGGGCACAACCAAATCCAGCCAGATCCAATGCACTGTGTCAGGCTGCAGCACAGGGTGACTGCAGCACACCAAGCCGGTGCACCAGATGACACCTGCAGACCTACCCTGCACTGGATCAGGCCCACAAACCAGCCCCACACTACTCAGCCACTTGTGGGGCCAGATAGGTCAAAAACACTGCTGTGCTAATTTGTTCTTTGCTTCCTAGGGCAGAGCAACAGGTGTCTGAC